ATATTTGATTTAAGATTCTGATTTAAGAAAATTCATGCTTTCAACTGTTAACATGAGTTGGAGATTTAAGACGTAGATGATTAAAAGAATAGTAATTCTATAGCAACTTGGATGATCTCATCAAAGAAAAAAAAACTATAACAAAGGGACTTGATCCTAAGAAAAATAATCAGATAATGATATGGGAATAGAGCAAATAAGGTTTGCTAAAGATAAGCTTGAACTGTAATAACCAGAAGTGTAGATCCAAGAGTCCTTTAATATGGAAACATAAGCCTCATAAGTGAAGAGGAGGGCTCCAGTCTAGTCAGTCTATAAAAGGAATTATACAAGGAAAAGCTTAGTATCAATTAAGAGAAATTATAATGGTTTTTTAATTTCAGAAAACACACTGTATTTTTGTTTAAAATGACCTGCTGCACATATCATTAATATTCTATACCCTCCTGTTATAAAACAGGCCACAATGAGTTTACAAGTGACATTATGCAATGGGAGGCAAGACAGAAGTGATTAACCTCAGAACACAGGGATACCACTGTAGACAAACTTGCTAATTTCTCTGTGCTTTTGGTTTCTTCACGAGAGCAGCACTTCCTATCCCATAAGATTTTTGTGAGACTTAAGGACCTAGTACATTTGTTAAAGCCCCCGGGCCTGTGCCTGCCTCCAAGTAAACACTACACAGATAGCTGCGGCTGCTGCCACTTCTTACCACCAGTCAGCAACAGGGAAAAAGAAAAAGAGAGGACAGAAGCCTGGAGTGAAGGCATCTTTTACTAAGGAACAGTTAGTTTTCATTTCCTTGAAGTGTCCAATCTTTTGGAGAAAGTGGTGCAAGCAGAGTAATGTGAGTTGTGTTATTAGAACTGAGCTAGGCCAGCTCTGCTGTCCGTACTTTCCGGCCTCTGTGGAGTGTGGGCGAGCAGGAGGGTGGCAAAAGCAATGAGTCTGGCGATCCACCAAGAACAACATTAACTTCTAAACTGTGGCACTGTGCTCTGGAAAGCTGGTCTACACGCTACTGGAAGACTGTCTTGCCAGGAAAATCTCCTTTAAAAAAGAGGCCACAGCCAACATGAAGACACGGCCAGAAACAATTCTATTAACAAACAGGGAACAGACTAGGAAACATCACCAGTCCCTCTCACAGCACGCTTCAAATCTGTAGGGGACTCCAAACGAAACTTATTTTTCAGTATTCTAAATGTGATATGGGGGGCTGGAGAGATAGCTCAGCAGTTAAAAGCACTGGCTGCTCTTCCAGAGGACCCGGGTTCAATTCCCAGCATCCACATGGCAGCTCACAATTATCTAGAACTCCAGTTCCAGGGGATCTGGCACTGTCACACCAATGCACACAAAATAAACAAATTAGATAAACTTTAAAAATGGTGTTATGTTCAGAAACAGTAATGAAACTCCTTGAAACAAGTCCAACAGTGAACGACTAGATGAATATCTGCCATGTCAAGTTCTAGTTCCCCAGTTAATTCATTTCCAAATGAACTAAAACAGTCAATAACTTATTTCTGGGGACTGGGGAGATGGTTCAGTAACTAAAGGCTCTTGCTGCTCTTTCAGAGGACTCAAGCTCAGTTCCTAGCTCCCAGGTTAAGTGGCTCAGTTACCTGGAACTCCAGCTCCAGGGAGACATCACCCTCTTCTAGCCTCTACTGGCACCAAATACACACACATACACTGACACGAAGAAAAATAAAATTTTAATTTTATTTCTGTTTATACATATGACACTTATGAAAGATTTAAGTTCTCCATAAAAATGAGTGAAAATCATGTTAAATATTTTAACATGAAAATTAAAGGCGTATTTTCTGTATGAAAAAATAAGTGATCAAAAAATTAAAGTGACAGTCTGAACAACCCTTTACAAAGAATACTTCAACTAATCTCCTAATATCTATTCCTTTACAATTAATTATTAGGCCAAACACAATATCCACTCCATAGCCCTCCATCTCTACAGGGTCAACAATGTCTTTCTAAGCAATGGTCATAGCCACGACAACTCTGGCCACTGAGGTTCAAGAAGACATTTTTTGAGAAAAGTTCTGCTTCTAAAGAAAGAGTCATGAAAAGCCAAAGTTTTCTCCTCTTCCACCTGCACTCATATTCAAGAAAGCAGGCTTCTGAGGTCTAGGGATAGACATCTTGAAACCACAAGATATCTAGGCCTTTGAATGACAAGATCTGTAATTTCATAATTAAGAGTTGATGACTCACTCCAGGGATTTTCTCTTACACAGACATAAGAAATGTCCAGTTAGTCTTAGGGCCAGTTTTACACTTAGTAAAAGCATCCTAATTTATAAGGTTCACTCTCTTATAAGGATACTCCCAGACAAGCCAAAATCCAGCCCAGAGTCTATCACAGTGGTAGAACATGCCCCATAGACAAGCCGAAATCCAGCCCAGTCTTCTTAAAACAAACCAGCTATTGACAATTACAAGGAAATGCTACAATACTTTTCAAAGAACTTCCACATATTTTCTTTTACTATTTAGCAATAAAAGAGGTAATTAATAAGATAGAAACACCAAGCAACTTGGCATAAAATTTTACTTTTAGATCCCACTTAGTTATATGTGCCATAACTTCTTAGGGCACAAAAGGTTATAACTTCATGGAACCGAAAATATTCATCATGTTTAAATGATGCAAAGCATCACTGAAGCAAGAAACGGCAATGTTTGGATGTGGTTGACTTTAGCTTTAAAAAGCCTTCAAGCCAGGTGTAGTGGCACACCCCAATCCCAGCGCTAAAAAGCTAAGTGCAAAGACCACAAGCCTGAGGCTGGCCTGAGTTGCAGTAGTGAGAAACAGTCTCAGAAAAATAAGGGGGGGAGGGGGGCCAATTTTAAATCTTTAGAATTTGCTGTTAGGTGGTAAGCTAGGGTGGACACGCTAAAACTGAGGCCCCAGCTCAGTGGTTCAGACTTTTGTAAATTAACACGTGGCACTAATTCAATCCCCAACATTGTCCAAACTGGCGACAAAGAGCGGGGCACAAAAAGGAACCTTGATCTGAGGTACTCTTGACAATTCTCTGAGACAGGCAAATGGTTCCATGGGTAAGGCGCTTGCCTCACAAATGTTAAGACCTAAGTTCAGAACCCAAGTTCAGTGAGGTGGTATATGTATGTAATCCCAGAGCCAAGGGGAGATAAGAGGTAGAGACACGTAAGTCCCCCAGAATGCGAGTGCCAGCTAGCCTGGTAAACAGAGTACCTGTGAACAACAAAGAAACCCCATCCCAAAGTAGACAGCAAAGACCAGCAGCTGAAACCCTCATCTGACTTCTACATATGCACCAGGCAAGTGTGTGCTGGCACTCACACACTAATGCACACACATCACATATACAAAGAATGGGCTGACCGGCTTGAAGAGAAGCCAAAATTGCTTGTCTTGTCCACTTATGATATTCCTAACTTTGCCAGACTGTATAAACTGTAAAATACAAATGAAGATGTCTCTGGAAAGCAGTGATTTCACAGCAGCAGCAAGGTGAGATGGCAAGAAAAGAAGTCAGTAACACAGGACAACCAGTCAGAAAACGCAGACAGCAGACAAAGGAAGCAAGGATGACACCACCAAGGCCTTACGTGAACCACAGATTAACACATGCGCAGACCAGTTGTTACATGAAGCACTTTTATACTTTTATAAGACTGCTTTGTGACCTGAAGTACACACATTTCAAATGAAAAAGCTCCCGTGTTTCCCAGAAAAATTTACCCTGCTGTATAACACATCAGATGAGTACTGCTTCATACACCTTAGGTTACCAGTGCAGTAGTTCTTCTAAGGTTAACTCACACCAAGAATGCGCTACCAATTTAAGCAAAGAATGGAAAATTAATATACGCATGTGTGTGTCTGCACAAAAGACACAAGCCCAAGCTGCACAGAGGATATGGCTGCGACTGGGGGTACCCAAATGAGCAAGTTCTACCACGTGGAGGACAATCATGGATGACGACTTCTCTAGCTGGAAGACGTTACTTGGAACCTTGGGATTTCTTCGCTGTCGTTCCAGAAGACCAGAAACAAAGCTCACACAAGTTCTGGGGCCAAGAATGTGTGTGATTTCCTACCTAAAATTAGCCATGCCCATTTCACCACAGCTGGGCTGGGCTCCTCTATTTTAAGGTGTGCAGCGCCAAATTACTTAAGAGTATGTAATTGCTGGCTAATCTTAGGACTAAGAGTGTCAGAGACTTCCCACCCAGGCTTCAGGATGGCTAACTGGTCTCCACAAAGCCCCACACTTAATGGCCTTGCCATCTAGGGCCTAACTATACCACTAATGAGCCATGTACTAAAAACATATAGCATGTACAAAATAAGCAAAAAGAGATGCTCCTTTGCCTCTGACTGACTCTGCTTCCAAAGACACACACAGTATAGGAAAGGAGATTTTTAAAAACTGGACAAAAGTCACAATACTTTAAAAAGTAAATATTTGTTTTCAGGAAAATTGTATAAAACCCACAATAAAAAACCTTCCAAGTTATGTTACACATGTTTACCTTCCCAAGTTCTGTGCAACTGGAATAAATCCAACAGAAGGAGCTATTCCGCGTACATAGTACATTCCAGGAACATCACAAGGAACTGGTGAAGGTACCGATAGTACTTGCAGGAAAATTTACAGTATTTTTTTTTAATAGAGCTGACTTTCAAACACAGATGAAAGCGAATGGAAAGACATGCCTTCTTACCAAGAACAAGGGCAGTTTTGTCAACTGGGAGCAAAGCTGAGCTGTAAGTTGAAACCCAAGCTGCCCAGATAACAACCCTGATTTCTACAAGCCCAAAGCAAAGACCTCGCATCTATTTTATTACCAGCAATTTGAGATCCTGGAACAGACATCTGGCACTCTCAAGTTCCCGATACAATCATGCAGCGCAAGAACACAGCATTAACACTTGTTTTGACACACTCGATTACAGGAGGAGGCAAAAGAACGCATACCTTCATTTTCAGAGGCATGGCACTTCACTTTCAACACCAAGTCAAAAGTTCTTTCTGGATTTTCCCTAAAACAGAAAGAATCTTGTTATATTTTATTTGCTTGACACAGCACATAAGCATTAACTACATAGCTTCTATACAAGCATGCCCCTGTACCTATGGGCTTGTGTGGTACTAAGAATCGAACCCAGAGTCTGTTCATGCTAAGGAAGATCGCCATCCCTGTATTTACTGAGTTCTAAATCGAGCCCTGTGCCTGCTGCAATGGCTTCTATGAGGCTCCCTGACTGTGTAACAGAAACATAAATGAAAATGTTTTATCAGTTTATTAAAAGTTAAAGTTCAGACTTTGGAGCGCTGGAGCTGGGAGCAAAGTATTTCATGACCTCTGAGATTGCTTCCTCACCTATAATGTACCCTGTCTGCGTCACAGAGTAACTGTGACGATGAGACATCAATTAATATGTGAATGTTCGTTAGAGAGTAGCAGATTTCATCTTATTGACTCAAAACTGGAAAGCCAGGGCACTCCTACTAAGCATCTTCTCAGACTGCCATAATTCTAACGCCAACTCTCGGCTTTCCTCCAAAGAACCTGCCGTAGTGAGAAAGATGAGATCCTAATTCCACCTGCATGTTCTAAAGACGATCACGGAAGAGTGCCCCATAGACAGGCACCTGCTTTTCCTGGGCATGTCTAAAGAAGCTGTTCACACACTCCAAGCTAACCTAACCTGACAAATTATTTTCCTTATATCAATTATCTTGAAGGAATTTGGACATTTGCCTCCTCATTAAATTCCCCCACCTTTAGAAGTTACTAGTTCGGTTTCTTTCCCCCCCCCCCCAGTTTCTTACTCATTTAATCTATTTATTAAATTTCAAAAAGTGGACTGAAATCTACTGAGATATTTAAAGCAAACAAAAATGTGCTGCTGTAACGTCTCTTTCCTTGAGAAGGTGTAAGATCAAGTCTGGGAACCTGGCTCAACGGTACGTGCCCTAGAGTGCCTGAAGCCTTGGGTTTGACCATGATGGGAGGGGGAGTGAAGGGGGAGCTGTTAAAGTAAAAGACGACGTCACAATGCAAAAAAAGTGATGGCATATATTTCAATTACTCCTGCTACGACTGGTGCCTTTCTTAATATCTACCTTCTTCAAAATGTTATTAATTACTTCTCACATCTAAATAAACACTGATTTTAAATATCAACCAGAGAAAAAGACAAGCCATGTAGCTTAATTTACAAATATACACTTCCTCATCATCCCCACTATTAACTTGTTTCATGGGCATAAAATGGGCTCCGGTGAACTTTTTTAAAATCCCTTTATAATACAATTAATTGTCCAAAAAGTATGCTTTAAAAAAAAAAAACTCACCCTGCACTTCATGGTATCAAACACCAAAGGAAATATTCTAAAATGCATAAGGCTTCTACTTCCATTAGACGTTTAAAATTGGTCTTAGGTAGAAAAATTAAATAGTAACCCTGTTATACTTCTCTGCGACCTAAGGGGCCTTTCACGGTGGCACAACAAATACACAGGGTGAGGTAGAACGGAATGGGAGGGGGCGGCAAAAGACGGAATTTCTTCCCAAAGTAAAGTTTCAGAAGGAGACCAGCAATCGCCCGTCTCCGAGACACCTCAAAGCAGAGCCACCACCGTTATTCAAATTGCTTTTCACCTACTCCCCAGAAGTAAAATGGCCAATGATAAAGAGCCACCTTGGTGCTCTCCGCAAGCAGCGCACACGGAGGGGCTGTATAAACAAACGCCGCTTTCATTTTACGTAAAGGGAAAGCATCCGAAAGCATCCCAGGCCACCCTGGAAAATCACCCTGAAGGGTGCAACGGCGACCTGGGTCGCCGGGCGAGCGGTTTCATAACAACCGCTCGCAGAGCCGCCCGCCCGCCCGCCGTCCGGGCCCGGGGAAGCAGGGTCGCGGACCCGGCAGGCTTTGCGGCCTAGCGCCGACCGCCGCGCAGCCAGCCGTACCGGGCAGGCCGCACCCGGGGCGGCGGACGCCGGGCCCCGCCGCCGCTCACCTGGTCCTGCGGTCCATGGTCACATGTCGCTGCGGGGCCGCCGTCGCCCCGCGCCCGCACGCCCGCACGCCGCCTGGGACGCGCTGCTCAGAGCGGCGGCCGGCCCACGGCGCCCTCCGCGGCCTCGCGGGGACAGCACCGCGGCGACGCCGCCCCCGCCCCCGCCCCCGCCTCCCGGTTCCCGCGACCCGGCCCGCGGCGGCGGCTCGGCCACCTTCCGCGAACCAGGAAGTCGTCGGGAGGGGGAAGGGGCGCACGGGGACGCGCCCTGCGGCTGCACCTGGCCGCGCGGCCCGCGGGCGGGACCTGCCCTCCTGCTGTCCTGGGCACCGGTTCTCGCTGCCGCCGTCCTGGAAAAACACTTATGTCCCCGGGTTCCCACATCACGACTTCCATTCATTCCCAGTTCAGAGCTCAAGTGGGTGCTACCGCTCCTGCCTCACTCCAGCTGTGGCCCGGCTAGAGCTCTCTGAAAGCCAGAGCCGCCCCCTCCTGATTCAGGAATGTTCAGACTTTAGGCACCTGCTAAACAGCTCTGCCAAATAGCTCAAGGATGGGCTCCAGTTGCCTGCCTGCACAGATGGGAAACACATTCCGGCCGCAGTCACTGACTCACAGCCAAAGACTTAACTTTTGAACACACAGTGGCAGCCCCCCCCCCCCCATCGAGTGTCGTTCTACGGTCTTGAGAAGGTACCGCGAAGGGAGGAGGAGGTGAATGAACCCCAGAACTCCAAAGCATGTATTCTGTAAGCAATGCTAAACATTGGCTTGGCAAGCCCCACACCTGGTACAGGTACCTAAATCACCACATCACAGAGCAAGAGACTGGGTCTGAAATAAGCAGTGGGCAGTGGCAAAGCTGGGATCAAATCAAGCCCGTCTCTTGCTGACTCTGTACTGTATTGTAGCTTCTTATTGCTTCTTCTGCCGTCTCAAATTTGGGATCTGCTAAGAAGACATTTAGAAAGATGTACGGTGGACATTCAAAACGTTGTCCACGGCTAGAGTCTCTCGCTAGGGTCTGGGAAAGGCCTTCTCCCAGATAGCACTCCCCCCCTTGACAAGGCTGGAGTGACTGTCATCCAATGGGGGTTGCTTCGGACTGGGTCCACATAGAAGGTGCAAGAATGAGGAGATCGAATCTGGTATGAGTCATGAGACATAAGAGTCAGGCAAGGAGCCTTGGAAAATAAATAGGTTTGATATTAAACTTTCCTGTCCAAAGTGACGTTGCCATCCGCAGAGCAAGACACATTCCACAGCCACAAACTTAGGAATAAGATTGAGATCCCAGTGTTTCTGAAACACAAAACAAAACGGCACTGTGTTTGTGCACAGGGCGCTGTCATAACTTGACTTGGTGTGGGATGCTTGACTTCAGTTTCTCGCTTCCTACATTTGTAAAATGGGGATTGTTCCTTGCATAGCGCGAGTCGTGTGTTGTTCAAGTTTAAAAGTGCTGAGCCATTAGTGGGACATTTGGAGGAGTCACTCCGTGAATTTCAGTTTCACAATTAGGCCAACTACACCATGTAATTTTCATTTTCCCATATAAACTTCTTCCCTGCCTAACAAGTTAGCATACTCCAAAGACTTGAAATAAATCCTTTATAAACGAAAACCCACTTCTGCCCCAAGTGTTACTAAATTGCATGTCTCTCCTTTTGTTACAATTAATTCTTCTCCAAATTTAAAAAAGAAAAAACCCTCCCTAGGGGACCTGTCTCGTGAGTTTTTAGTCTGCAGTGAGAAAACAGTAGCAAGGATTTTCACCATCCACTGTTGGGATTGTGTAAAGTGGCAGTCATGCCTTCGTATAACATAAGAGCTTATGCAAACTACACAAAGGGTATGAGAACAAAATGCCACACATATATAACCCATGCCAATCCTTTTTCCATCACATTTGAAGTCAACGACAACAAAGAGTTTGATTTTATTGGATTTAGCAAATAAACACAGGTGGATATGATTGATGTGCATAGTTTGTCAAAAATTACTGGAGCAAGAAGTTAGGATATGCCTATTGTGGTATGTTGATTAAAACCAGTGATATAATTTTGGTAATGTTTGCTTCATATAACACAGTGTTATTGATAGAGAAGCTTAGAGAACGCAAACTTTCAAATTGGCTGCTACATTTTCCCATGATCATATTTAAGCAATACTATTTCCTACTTGACAATAACATTTTTTTAGATTATAACAATCCAAGAACAAGGTATATAATAGTATTGTCAAGGAGCACATACCAGGATCGGGCTGTAGATCAGTGGTAGAGCACCGGCTTGCCACCTACAAGGTCCTGGTTTGATCCCCAGCACAGAAAATATGTTCTTCAGCTCATGGATGTGATCTTGATGATGAGTGTATTGATGTCTACTGAGTTTGTTTCTGCATCACACAATTCAATAATGGGAAAATGAATTACCTATTAATTAGATGCCCTAATATGTCGCTAGGACTGTCTACTTCAACTTACAGTTCTGTCGTGTTTTGCTTTACATACCTTGTGACCATGTTATAATAGATATTCCAGTTGATAAGTACTGAGTCTACCTAGAAGAGTGAACCAGTTCTCATATTTTATGTCTCTTTTGCCCTCAATGTTTGCTTGTTTATTCTAAATAGTGGTTTCCTGGCATTTTCATTCTTTTAAAACACAGCAGCTTTCTAAACCATTATGTTTGAACAACTTTTCTTCAATAACTGCTTGTGTCCACTTTCCCCAGGCTACACCCAAATGCTCTCTGCTTGGTAGTTACTACCTACTCCTGACATGAAAGAACTCAAGTCTGATGTAGGAGGGTCATCTGTCTATGTGTTACTTTCATTGGTTAATAAAGAAACTGCTTGGCTTTTGATAGGACATCAGCTTAGATAGGCGAGGTAGACAGAACAGGATGCTGGGAGAAAGAGAGTGGCTGGAGGACAGTTGCTGCTGTTTTAAAGAGAGAGACCACGCCCCAATGGGCTGGTATCTCAGCGGCTATTGGCTGAAGGAGCAGAAGGAGCTCCTGCAACACAAGTCTGGGTCACCTAGTGAGCCAGTGCTCTGACTCCCAAAGTACCATAACCACAGAGGTAAGCACTTATGTTTTCTCCAGTAGAAGTAAGCCTTAGAAGAAAAACTTATTAGCATGCTGGAGTACTGCCTGCCAGTCCCTTCCCTCTGGAAAAAAAAGAGAGGGGGACACTGTTACGGACTCTCAAAGGTCTTCAGAGAATAATTCCACTCCGAAAGCTTCAAGTATAAAGTAGTCAAATCATCTTGGCTCTTAGGATAAGTATCTATTACATCTGCTGATAAACTGTATTTGTCTCTGCCATTTAATGTGCTTTCCACTCATGCCTCCTTTTCTATGCCCCGTCTCCTTCAGCGTCTTTAGAAGCAAGGACGTTCTTTCTGTTTTCCTTTCTGGCCTCCTACTGTAACTTACAGCCAGGAATTAATGGACTCTATTCACTAACTAGACACATACTGGCTGTGGGCCTCCTCTGTGTATATCAGAGTTTAAGGTTTCAAAGAACTAGCTTAGAACCCAGTTTTGAGAGGTGTCCTGCTCGTCAACTGTGTTTGGCACACTTCCATCCATTCCCTAGAATCTAACTCTCCATGGCTTCCTATTATTATTCTTAGGTTAAATTTAATTAATAGCATTCAGATATTCGTTTATGGTGAAGAAAACTTCTTTCAATAAAATACTCAACAGGTCAAATTTCTTATTGAAATTTCCTTAAAAATATTATTTTTTTTTTTGTCTGGACATGAAGACCTAGTCCTTTAATCTTAACATTAGAGAGTAAAAGACAGGTGGATCTCTATGAGTTTGAGGCCAGACAGACTACATAGTGAGATCCTGTTTTGATTTTTTTTTAATTTCCTAACTTGAGTTTTACTGTTAAAACTGAGACAATGTTTACAAGGAGAAAATTTTCCTAGTGTTTCCTTCATACTCTACAGGAGTATCATACATTTAAATCTAAAGGTAAAGTCTCCTTTAATACTACATGTGTACTATTAAAATAGAAGCCCGAGGGGAGAATGAAGAAGCAGTATCTTTGCCAAAACCATTCTTTTCTGCGTTGATTCAAAAGTCAAGTTCAAAAGTACCTTCCAATTTGTAGACAAAAACACCACAAATTATAATGTCTTTATTACCAAACCTGAACATAAGCAAATATACATAAAATTCATATGATAAATTATATTTAGCTGTTAAACATTTAATAAAAATATTCTTGCTGGGCAGTAGTAGTGAATACCTTTAATCCCAGCACTTGAGAACCAGAGGAAGTGGATCTCTATGAGTTTGAAGCCAGCCTGTTCTACAAAGTGAGTTCCAGGACAGCCAGGACTATTACATAGAGAACCCTATCTCGAAAAACAAAAACAAAACAAAACAAAATCTCAAAAACCATTTAACCAAACATCTTCTTTCCTTTTCTCCAAGCAATTTGTCCTCTCCAGTTGTAAAATAAATGATCTTACCTCTGACCAGCTTCTGCTAGTTCACATTTATCTCCATTCCTCAGCCTGCCAGACATTGGGAAACTTGCTCTGAGCCAAAGGAAAGAGAATAGGACCAGTAGACGGTAATCAGAGGACTTGATTTCCCCTGGGACTCTGAGAAGTCTTGCTTGACTTCAAGAAGCCGAACAATGTTTGGGTAACCCTGTGCACTGCATGGGTAGCAAGCTCCTGACCCCACCCACGGAGATACTCCACATAAATAAAACAGCATCATTGTGTGACAGCCTTGCTCACACCCATTGAATGTTTCAATGGAATGAGTAATCGCATCCAAAGAGCAATGTCATTAGAATTTACTGGAAGGATTCAGAAGAGGCTATCTAATACGATACTGGTGATCCAGCAAAATCAGCGACCTCTATAAACAATCATAATCCTAATGTAAAAGAAAAGTTCCTGCTGGCCACGTTCTACTTTTCTAAAATTGAATCACTAGACAAACATGACATGCATATCACCACACAGGAGGCTCAGGGCGTGGGGAGCTGCAGCGTGTCAGCCAACAGACCTCAGTCAAATAAACAGCAGGGCAAAAATGCCATTCTACAGCACAAGGCTCCTTGACGACTAAAGAGATTCACAATCCCATCATTTTTGATAGGTATCTCCTTCACTCCTTCTACTACAC